CCCGGATTCTAGAAGATATCCCGTGGTCTCCTAATGAAGCCTTCTGTTTACTGTCAAAGACTGAGTTTCTCTTATGTAACCAATTGATTCTAAGTCAAAAACACTGACAGTTTCTAGCACACAGATTACAGACATAAGGATTTCTTATCTGGCTCTGATACTAAAACCTCATGGCTACAGGCTAACAGGAAACTTTCCTATTCAACAATAAAGGAAAACATTGAGAATAAACTATGACCCAAATACAAACAGCCTCACATCCATTCTTTCCCTTTCAGCACAGCACAGCAACCAGGCAATCTGTTTACCACATTGCATCCATGTTTTCCTTGTCTTTTCTCTGCAGTTATTTTCCCAGCCTGGAATTCAGCCACTCCTGATTATTATTATATTCATATGGGTAACACAGTCCTATGCAACAAGAGAGCATTTTTACATTTTGCTATTTAATTTACATCCCTTCTTCATCCAAATCCTTCTCCATACATCTTCCTCAGCTGTGACTCAAATGTTCCTGGCCACCTCCTCTGCATGTTTCTTAGAGGCCTCAAATCAACATTTCCAAGACTAAACTCATCTTCTCTCTGTGCAGTATCAGGTCAGATCAGGAAATGGCCCAGTGAGCTAGCCAAGTCACACCCTGGATCTCACCTTTCACTTCCACTGCAAAGCAGTGACCCACGTGTCTGTCTCATCTACCTCTCCCGAGTCTCCCTTCTCTCCCACTAGCCCAGCTCAGACACGTACGGACGATCCTTAAACTGGATTACCACCCTCCTACCCAGCCTTTCCCTCTGGAGCTCTGAGCTCTTCCCAGGAGCAATTCCTTTGCCGTCACCCAAACATGCCACAGCTCAAAGCTCCTCAGCTGCTCTGCGCTCCCAGGACACGGCCTCAGTGTCTCTAAGTGGCTGCAGCTCTGTGCAAACCTCACTAGTTGAGTTTTTTTTTGCCCTATCGGCCCCACCACCTCCCGACACTGTTACACTGGGCCCAAGCTTCAACGAGAGCTTTGGCAGGGACAAACCATTTCCATACCACAGGGAGAAGCATTCTCTTATACCCCAAAGCTTGTCGTGGTGCTTCCACAGTACCCGGACATTCCTACTGTAGCCCCTACCAGGCACAGCACAACATTCTGCTTAAGTCTGTGTTCTCCACTAGGCTTCTCAGCTTTAAGATGACATTTCTCAGCCAAATGTGGGGACACGTGCCTGGAACTTCAGCACTCAGAAAGCTGAGGCAGAGGGATCACCATAAATTCAAGGCCGGCCTGGATGACATAGTTGAGAACCACACTCAAAAACAAAAGCAAGAAAACAAACAATGACATGTCTCTGCTACTCATGAGCGTGTCCCTAAGACCAACGTTGGCACCTGGCACATAGGGAAGAGGCTCGATAATGCTGAAAAAAGTACATGATTCCATGGGTATACTTAGTGCTGACGCTGTGCTTCTCTCCCCTCTCTGTCGGGAAGGTAGCCGAGCATAAGACACAGCAAAGCAAAGACATGCATGTGTGTATCCAGGTGGTTCTGAGAAGCGTAATCCCATCCCCTACCAAAGCACATAACCAGAGCAGTATAAAGCAACGTAAAGCCTTAAATGACTGGAAATTGTAGGATTTTGGTGTTGAACTAGCTTAGGTTCACTTACAACTGAGGAAACTGAGGCTCAGAATTTATGAAAGGAGACATAACTATTTAGTGAGAAACTGCCTCCCTCTACAAAGTTTCTGCTTTAGTTAGTGCCCAAAAGGGTCATAAAATCCTAGTTAGGTGCAAAAGTATGCTTAAAAGCAATGAAAAAATAAATATACAAATCCTGGTTGTATTAGATGAAATGACTTTCTAAGGTCACACGGCTAATGAGAAGTAAAGCTGGAACATGGTACATTTCACTTTTTTCCATCCTGCTTATATAAAGGATGTATACATTTTTGAGGGGCAGAATTACTAGTGCTTCTAATAATGGCAGCTCACTAGGATAAAATCCAAAGAAATCTGATCCTGAATGTAGCTGAACAATTCAATAAAAATAAGCTAATTCATATCTTTTAAAGTGCTACCTTTTTTTAAAACAATGAATGATTCTCCTTGAATTGGCTCTAGTAGGTACCACTGAATTTAACTACAATTCACTGTGCCTACAGGGACTGTGACTGGACTCCTTCGCCTGCTCCCTACAACAGTGGAGGGGGAAGAGATGACATCCAGATCACTACATGATACAGGCATGAGATGTGGCCAGCGATTGCTCAACCAAGTGCTGTGAGAACATCTATGAGGAAGATGAATGACTCATCAACTCCTTTCCCTCTGGGAAAGTTCTCTGAAGTGAGGCATTTGTCTTTTTTCTTCCATATTCCATGGGAAAAGACAACTGGTTACAAAGGTGACATATCTGGAAAAATATCCGGAACCAGAAGATATGACACTATGGAAGACCTAACTTTCATAAGCCTTGTGGTGCCACCCAGGATGTATTTGCTGTTATGGGCACTACATTAATCTTCCAGTAGGGCTTACAGAAAAGGACAGCAGGAGTACTTTTTCAGAAAACTAATTTGCAAAATCTGTAACTCAGAATAAGAATCCAGGAGCTTTCATTTTTAAGATTTTCAAGTATCTTCTATAAGACACAGATATCCTAAGAAAAGATAAATACAAACTTAGGGCAACTGTTACTCTACCTTCCTTAATTTCATGAAAGAATGACTTTGCTACCTACATTCCAACTAGTTTGTGCCAATAAATGTCTCACTGGAATTCTGTTAGAATTACGCTCTTGTCTGGTATTTCAAATAAAATTTTACAGTTTTCATTATTATAATCAAAACCATTAAAAGCAAACTAAAACAAATACACAACTGTTTTGAAACATAAGAATAAGGTCTCCATTGCACTGGCATATTATATGAAGAAATAAACCAGAAAGCAAAAGGTAAGGAAAAAGTTGGGAAGACGATGAATATTCTCTGCAGTATCATTAATGTAGGGCTGAGAAAGTTCATAGCAAGATGATACTAGAAAGCCCAACCATGTAGCACTTACAAAATTAAGGATGAAATAAAAAATTACAATAAAAATTACATAAAGAAATGTCTTATTTCAACAGGGGAAAAATAAATATTTAATACACAAAGTAAAAACACTGCAGTCCATTTAGAGAAAGAAAAGTTATATTTAAATCGGTAAAGTTGAAGAATCAACTTTCAAAAGAACTGTTTGAAGAATTCCTAGTGATTGTCCTCTCCTACCTCACTCTCCAATACATACATTACTCCTTTTCAAAAACAAATTACTACCATCAGAACTAGTAAGAAGTCTAAGAATTTTGCTTACGTTCTACAACTTAAAATCAAGAGAAAAACAAAATTTCTAAGAGAAAGTAAGTCTGATAATCCCCATATCAATTTAAGGACCTATATCCTTTTACTTTAATGAAATATGATCTTCTCTGTTAATAAGGAAGGTGACAAACAGAAAAATAAGCATTCATGGAGAAGGGATCCTGCTACGAACCTCAATACTTATTACATGCTTATAATATCCCTACCTTAAAAAAAAAAGCTACACAGATAGACTATTTCAGTTTAATTTTATTATGAAAATGGAAGTAACAAGAAACGGCAGCAGGGTACTGTATTTGATAGGTTCAATTAGCAGGAGGATCAAATGAAGTGATGACATGCCATTATGACCTTGGGGGTTAAAGATTTAATTTTCCATCTGGCCAAATCTAGATTTCCAGCACAAATGCTGACACCACCTGCTGTATGTTATTAGGTGGTATCTTGAGCAATCCCTAAGCACTTCCCATACACCACGAATAACCTCAAGTTTTTTTTTCATATTTTACTCTATAATATAATCCCCCATGAGCAGAAATCAAAAATGAGTTCTATATAATGGCTGAGTCAAAACAACCATGGCAGAAGCCATACTAAAGCATCCATTTACCAATCACCATAGTAATAAAAATATCATGATCATTTTCCTTCTAAGTCATGATTGATATTGTGCTATCATTTTCTGCAGCACCCAGGAAGCATTCCAATCAAAAGCTCTCTTTATGCCCTCAATTAACACTTCTTGCTTCTGAAATGGATAACTTGGCCACGGCTGACAAGAATTAGATTTTCAGAGCTCCTTCACTAAATAAAAATTCACCAAATTTTAAAATTTCATAGTTAACCTACTATGTCTCCTTTTTCTGGGTACCGGGGAATCGAACTCGGGCCCATGTGCTCGCGAGGCAGGGAACAGAACCAATGAACCAAATCCCCAGCCCCCTACTATGTTTTTTTGATTGAGTTAATGTAAACGCTTTTTGAATACCTGACGTGCCAAGTGCTGGAGCCCATTCTGAATATTCAGATAGAACAATACATGTGCTCACGAGTCTGCTCTTAGGCTCTGAGGGTTGGATTTTCTCTAGTTTGAAATATGGACACCCTATGCCAGAAGACCAGTCAATGAATGCACAGCTCCCATGGGGACTGGGATGGCACCCAATGATGCTTACACTCATCGATATGAGGGTACAAACTCACATCCACTATAAATGCTAGACTACTGATGCAGGTCTTGAAGACTTCACACTGGACAGCACAAATACAGCAATGAGATACATAAAACTTTCTGTTGGAACACTATTTCCCACTCTATACCCATACTAACTGCTTCTAATAAAATTAACTTTTCATTACCTGTACCTCCTTCTCAAAGCAAATCCACCAAGCTTCCCATGTTAGTCTGGTTACTTCTACAGTGTTTGGTAGCTAAATGGGTTTCTTTCTTATTAAAACTTATTACCCAGGTTACTTCATTTTATTACTCTTGTATAAGTGGTGTTTCAAAAATGTAAACATAGGGCCGGGGATTTAGCTCAGTGATGCCACCACCTGCCTCACAAGCACAAGGTCCCAAGCTGGACACCCAGTACTCCCCCGCCAAAAAAAAGTAAACATAAAAATTCCTTAGTGATATAAACTTACTTTGTTTTCTGAATCCACACACAGTAGTCTGAGATATAGAGGTCATTCAAAATGTAAGCAGGGTCGTTTTCCTGAAATATTTTGTGGATATCCAGGAGACACTTCAAAACTGCACTTTTACCTGAAGGAAATTTAAAAACATCAAATCATCCTTAAGAAAAAGACATGTAATTTTTTTAACTGAGTAATTCAGAGAGATAACACATTTAAAGTAGTTCAGATCTTGCCAGGTGTGGTGTACCTATAGCCCCAGCACTCAAGGCTGAGGCAGGAGGGTTGCTAAAAGTTCAGGGCCAGCATAGTGAATTTAAGACCAGCCTGAACTACATGAGACCCTGCCTGAAGAAACTAAAATGAAAAATTAAAAAAATAAAACAGCTCAGATCTTAATTATTCCTTAAGAATATTTTTAATATTCTTTTAGGACATGAAAACATACCAGTCCTATTATGCCCAAACTTTCTTACTTCTTTCCTTAAAGACTATGAATAATATCTATTGTTACAGCTGATTAATTGTGGCTACCATAAAAATCATGTGAAGTATAACTAAGTCAACTAAACAAAAGGAAGTTTTCTAAATCCATTGAATACTTAAGTACATCAAATTTTAAGTAGATAATATTTTTGTAATTCAAGCTTTCAAAATAACATGGAAAATAGACTTTAATTTTCAAATGTCTTTATTTTTATGGCAACACTTTTCAACAAGGAATTACCTAGTCTAACAAATTTTTTCACCTTAAAACTGAAGAAAATTCCACTAAAAAGTAAAATAAGATAGTGCTGCTTCAGAACTGAGCTGACAAAAAAAATACCTGAAAAAGAGCCATCAAGTAATTGGTCTTGTTCAACCTAGGCATGAGATAATGGGAGTATAAATGAGGACAGATGCTCAGCTGGTAAAAAAGAGACATTACTAAGGAAAAACAATCACTGGGATTAAAAAAAAAATTATCCAGCTCACTTCTTTCTGGTTATTAAATGGACTTAATTTTAATCCAACCAGTCTACAAAAGGAACTTTTCATGACTCAACAATTCACCTGGTGTTTCAAACTCCATGGCCATTCTCTGAAGTTTATTAACTAACTATATAGTAAAGGATAAAATCTAGAGTAGTATCACTCCCTCCGATCTGTAAAATAGACCATTTTCCACTTAACAGTTTCATTCTTATCCTCACAGTTCTGAAATATGAAATGCCATAGGTTTATTTAGCAGAGATACTAGGTGTGTCCTCACCAACATTTCCCACTTGACCTTTAGATTATAAAAGAACATGGAACTAGATGATGACATGTTAAGATCTCTAAGTTACAGCCACTAAGTTTTTTGTTTGTTTGTTTTTGGTACCAGGGATAGAACTCAGGCCCTTGTGCTTGCGAGGCAGGTGGTGGAACCACTGAGCTAAATCCCCAGCCCACCTTTAACAATTCTTACAATTAAGCTCTCCCTTGGTTCTTTGGATAATGTAGTCATGTGACTAACTCAGTTTTATCATATGTATCAGTTTTTATTATATTTCCTCCTCTTTTCATGAGATTCGGCCTGCAACATTACCTACTTTGTAGTTAAAAATAGGCCCATGGTGGAGAAATCCACACCAGTCATCTGACATGATTAACCTGGCCACTTTCATAAGTCTCAGCCCTGTGGACATGTCAAAATAAACTTAGCATCTTGTAGTTTCAAGCCTCCTAAGTATTATTTATTTTTTTAAACAACCAGTCTAGCAGTGGAGTTTTTATTGGCATCCTTCCCATCTGCATCTAAGGAAGCCACACAGTTAATATTTTTAAAAAGATATGACCTATTTTGAAAGATTTGCTACCTACTTAGCTTGAGAATTATGAAAGATGTTATGATGTAGACTGGTCACACCAGGAACATAAAGTTAGCACAAGTGAGCAGGGGACGTAATGGGGAGATTATCTAAATATTGTGGACTCAGGTAAAGGACCCCGAGGATGGAGGGAGTCAGCCTAGGGCTTCCACAAAGGAAAAGGGCTTGAGCTAGACCTTGACAACAAGCTGGGTCAAGTGGAGAGGAAAAAAAAAGAGCCAGCTGAACAAAGGCCTGGAATCAAGTCCATAGAGAGCCTGTGGGCACATACAAGGAGGGGACACAGGGAAAGCACCATCACAAAATGAATGTGAGAAGGGAGAGCCTGGAACACGAGAGATGAGGAAAAAGATTCTTAAAATCTAGGTGTGAGATGCTTATAGGAGTATGAATGGGGATGGGTGCTCAGGCAGCAGTGGAGAAGGGGCCTTTCCAAGGAAAAGTCATTAGGATTTGGTTTACGAGATTACAGAATAAAAGACGTTGTGAAAGTTTAACACTTGGGGATTGTTGTCATTCGTTCACTCTTAAAATGCTTAGATCAAGACCCACAGGCTACAAGGTTTTCTCCCCCCACTCTCCCCCCAAAAAAGGAAACAAAGAATTGTTAAAGGGTTTCAACTGACACAGAGGAGAAATGGTCAAACCAACATAATCAAATTAATTTCTCTCTTGCTTTCTTCACCTATTTTTGGAGGGAAGGAGGTACAGGGGGAATGAGTTAATTTTGCTTTACAATAATCTACTAATTTAAAGTTTTAAAAGTCAGTAGTAGGTCTTCACCAGAAAAACAATTTGCTCCCCACAATACTGCCTCCCAAGGCCCCAGACCTTACTGACAGAGCAAGTTAACAGAAGGCGCAGGACTTGGAGGAACACCACGTACAGAAACAGGGAGAATAAGCAGATGAGTTTGCAAGGAGTGACAAGAGGAAGCGCGATGCAATCAGGACTGAGTGAGAAGGCCTCAACTCAGGCAAGGACCACAGGGAGAAAAGGCCCTATTCCAGTTTCAGGAAGAAGGGTGTGAAGTCAGGTCATATGCTTAGAAGGTCTTTATCAGCCACTACCTATGCTCCTGTTAGCAGACATCTCTAAAGTGAGGTTGCCCTCGTGCGAAGAGCCTTAGACAAATTCACATCTTCCAGTAACTACAAAAGAACAATAATTTTTTTAAATGGTAGTGAAAAGAAAATGATGAAATAAAAAAAAAAACAAATTTTTAGTGTATCTTTACATTTAAAGAGCACAAATAACAGTATTTGCATGTTGACCCCTATGTTGTTTATATTAGGAAAAAAATACATGGAAAAAACTCCTAAACATACATTTGCCCAAATGACATTAACCGTATTAACTGTTTCCATGTTCACTGAACAACCGAGGAGAGCCCGTCGTGTGCCCAGCACTGCACCACACGGCCAGTGCAGATGTTTACTCTTACATGTACATTCCTCTATTTGCAAATGGTCCAAAAGGAACACTCATTAATAGTTTAGAAAAAAGTTAAGCATAACTGACTACAAAGCCAACCCCTGAAACACTGACAAACTAATGTTAACAAATTTTAATTCATTTTTTATGGACTTATTTTTTTTGCAGTGCTGAGGACTGACCCTAGGGGCGCTCTACCATTAAACACCTCCCCAGCTTCATTCTGCTGAGAGGAGTATTTTACCTGGATTGACCTTAAATTCCCTGGGCTCAAGAGATCCTCCTGCCTTAGCCTGGTAAGAAGCTGTGACTAGAGATGCACCCTACTGGATCCCACCATGCATACCTTCTTTTCTCCTTGTTGTTGTTGTTGTTATTGTTTTAAATGAGAGGCAATAATTTAGATCAGATAATTTTTTTAAATCACATACATGGCAGTTTTGAAAGTTATGCACTCTCTTCAAAAGCTGTGTTTTAAATATAAGTGTTATTCAAACTATTTTTATAGGATTCTACATGACAAATATGATAATCAACAATCAGGGTACAAGCCCCAGAATAAAACTTTATTACAATCACCTTTCTCCTTCCACCACGTACTGTGACTCAAAGTCGCACTTGATCTCCCTGGCTCTGCCTCTATCACCAAGGATGGCTGCAGGATCACAGCCAGGGACTCACAAGCATGGGGCTATTTGGGGTTTTTTTTAAAGTCCCTTTTACACTATTCTTTCTATCAGGTTCTCAACCCCTTATCTAGCAGTTATCAACAAAGGAGAACAATGGCCTTCTAGCCAGTCTCATGGCCAAGCGGCCAGAAGCCTACAGGGACTTAAAAGTTCCTACCTCCAGTTGTGGGCTCATCACACATCAGATGAGGATAAAAAACTGCTAAAGCCTAAATCTAAAACAATTATTTCTGCTCAAAGGCAACACAGGAAAGTGACCATTTTCAGGAAGTTCACTACCTGGTCCAAAGCAGACAAAAAGAAAGCATCCAGCACAGTAATCACAGTAACTATTCTCACTGCAGGATGTCAGGTGCAGTGAGGTATTCTCTAAGATGAACTTGGCTTCCTGAGCCAGCTGTATTCATGCAAGACACTCTGAGAGCAATGTCTCTTTATTCAAGAAAAGACTTCAACACTAGTGTCCTGGATTATAAATGATAAGCGCCATGAATGTTTTACTTCAGGGAAATGATTGTTTAATGACAACACAGAGGAACATAATGGCAACACAAAGAAACTATGGGTGACAATAGTAAGAAGGTGTGCAGTAAACAGGATTTAACACATCCTTTGGCTTTCCTTTAAAGAGAAGGTACGCTAAGAATAAAGTGCTTCCTGTCTTGACAGATGTGGCAACTCAGGTTAATATATCTTAAAACAAAGACAAGATTGAGCTGTTCTAAATTAGAATCCTTGGGCTATCTGAAATCCTACTATTAGCACACCAGGTATGGCAACAATCTCTCACTGACAAACCAGCTCAAGGTTGAAGGCAGCCAAGAAGAAAAGGTTCCTATTGCTAGAAGATGATCAGGGAAGTGGATTTTTTTTTTCCTGTCTAAAAGCCAACAAAAGGAAAAATAATGCAAGTTGCTACTCTAAACAGTAAGGGCTAAATTCTTTTTAACTGCTGATACCATCATGGCAGCTGGATGGCTAGCTATTTAGTTATACCTTTTAAAGTTTTGATGATACAAGCCAAGAAGCCAAAATAAGTAAAGAAAAGGAGGTGGTTATTTTAAACACCTAAAGGAAAGCACAGCTCAGTCTTTATTTATAAAATCACCTCAAATAAAAGCCAACATTATTATAATTTTAACATATATAACTTA